AAAAACAAAAAAAAAAAAAAAAAAAAGCTTAAGGAACAGTTTCACTCTGGCTCATCCTGGAATTCTTCAGTGTTGTCAGGGATTTGGATTTACCTGAGTGTGTAAGGGGCCCCCAAGGGGAGTCCCCACTCTCACCCGGAGTTGTGCGCACCCAAGGAAACACGGAGACTGGCTTGATGGAAAATAGCAAAAGGTAGTTTACTGACAAAGGCCCTTGGGTCAAAAACACATCCCATGCAAGGGAAGGATTTCGACTGGCTCTGACAGTTTACAGTTGATATAGGGAATGGCGCAGGGGGAAGGGGGAGAGCAGGAAACTTTGGCGCGGTTACATTTGATTGGCTATTTTAAACATCAGCAATAGATGTAAGTTATCATTTTGGTGGGCATAGCAAGCTTTTCCTGCTGGTCATGATGACTCGTATTTTTTGTATTTTTGGCCATGGAACCTCAGACTTTCTGATAGGAGAATAAAAACACCAGATGGCCCATTTCTCATTTGGGCATGTTTAGACTTGTCAAGGTTTGTCTTGGTTTTGTTCCTACATTCATGGTCACCTTGCCCTAGGAGGAACTGGTTATTTTTTGTTTTGGCTGTTTTCAGCAAATTGTTGGTGGTCTGGGGGCTTCTGCCGAGGTATTTTGATTTTTTGTCCTCATAAGTGGAGCTGTCTCCTGGGGAAGAGAACTAACTTCTCAGAGCAATGGTGGTTATGCAGGCTTCAGACCCTGCCTCCTTGCCACCACTGCTACTGACATCTTTGGTGTCCTGAGGATGTGATGAACTCTGGAGAGTCCTAGGTGATAGGTGATAGGTTATTTCTCCATCATCAGTGAAATGACCCACTTTAAGCCAGATTAGGTTATATTAAAGGTAGGTTTATTGGTAAGCTGCTCTCGGGTGGGTGAGTTCAATGGCCCCAAGGGCCAAGGCCGGGGAAGTCTCTATGGGGAAAGGGGGTAGATAGGGGAGGGAGAAAGAGAGAAAAGGGGGTATACACATGCAAAGAGAGAGAGAGAAAGAGAGAGAGAGAGGGAGGGAGAGAGGGAGAGAGGGAGAAAGGGAGAGAGAGGGAGAGGGAGAGGGAGAGGGAGAGAGAGAGAGAGAGAACCAAAATGTCTGGATTATATGGGGAGGAGTCTCTGGGGAAGGGCAGCCCAGCCCCTGGATTGAAAAGTTCAAGGTTGGGGGACAGGGTGTGCCAGGTAGGGACTGAGGAATGCTGGGAGAACCTGGAAAGCCAGGTCTGCTTTAATATGTAAAATATGCATTTCAGTCCCTTGTCAGGGTTGAGTCAGTCCAAAACCAAACACTAGGATGTTCTGTGGTTTGATTCAAGTGTGGGTTCCCTGGGTATATACACATGACAAAATTAATCAAGCTGCTAACTTAAGTTTTATGTACTTTTCTGTGTGTAAATAATATACAAATAAAGCTCTAGTGACAGGGGAAAAAAACATAACAGATAAGGAAAGACACTTTATACTTTGTAAATCTTTTGTTGTTAAGGACTTTTCAAAGCTTTTATCAAAGTATGACTACTATATGACTTGCAATGTCACGGACTTCCTTTGCCTGTTTTTAACCATTATATAGGATGGGCTCTTCTGTTTGCTTGCTTTCCCATCTAACATTATGCCTTTACTTGCCATTGCTGCTCTCCTTTTCTCTGGGACTCTTAGCCACCCTCT